GGGCAAGTAGGCAGAAATTTCATAGATTTGTTGTCATATTGTAGCAGTAGCCTTTTATTAGCTGCCTATGGGTAAACAAAGCGAACCCAGTAGAGCTCTATCAGCAATACTGGATGTATACACGACAAAAGCAGTGAATGTAAAGAATCTTGTACAAAAAATGGTTTCTTTGGTGTAACTCAAGCCTCACCTAAGCTCACCGGACGGCCCTGGTACAACTTGTGCGCACGGATAAAGATTCTGGTGATGTCGCCTAGAGCCGCTCGATGCTTAACGAGCTTAGAGATGATAGGTACGATATTGACCTTGTGTAACACAATGAGTAGAGCTGTTTTGTAATACACACGTGACGGGTAGCCCGATCCTCCGTTTCTGAGCGATCTCTTCATGCTACAGAATCAGTAAATTGATAATGAACCTCTCTTAGGAGGTACAAATACTTACCAAACACATAGCGCCCTCAGTCTCTACAAGTTGTGGTTTATGCCAATTATGCATTCAATCCCTCTGCGTTGCTTGAAAGAGTCGACGACTTATGGCGATCCCTTAGTAAATTTATGAACGACGACCTATCCATCTTCTCAGCGATTTTCCAATGGTACAAATGCAGCTGCTAGTTCAGAATAATTCAGGTTGAATGGCGCCCAGATGATAAACTTCAGCATCAGGTTGAGTCTATCTAAATGAATTTCACAGCAATTGTTTGCTAACCATTCACCTGTGATAGTTGCAGTTGCTAGGAATTCCACCTGGAGTGAAGCTCATGCCAGTGGTTGTGGCAGATAATGAAAATAAGGTTAGCCATAAAAATCTACGATACTAGCTTCAAATACAGGAGCACTATGGTAGCCCACATAGATGAAACATGTAGAATCATTTATGAACAGCGAATGACGAGCGTGGTCACGAGCTCCATGAAGTTCACTGCAGTAGACAAAGTTCACTCGAAACTAAGACCGCTATAGTAATTCTTCAGACTAAAAGGTTTTTACCTAAAAAACATAAATCTTCCTTTTTACCAAAGAAGAGCGTGTGTTGCATAGTGGTCGAGGGTGTACTGCAATGCACGTGGGCTCGTTCCCACGCTCTCAAGGCACCACCAAGCCTTCCATCCCTCCGAGGACGGTAAATTGGAACCAGACTTCTCTGGGAGGATAGCTGCGCTATTCGATACATCGGCAGGCTACTGCGAGTCACTGTAGACGCCAGATATGCTTTTACTCTCTTCAACGATGCTTGGTGAAGTTAAATACATGGCGCCCTTCAGGGATTGATCAACGCCGAGAGCTTTTATTACCCTTTACCAAAAAATAGCCTTGTTTCCGGCATAATTTTTTAACTACAAAGCCTCTTTAAACACCTTTTGTGCAGATTTCGTTTTTTTTTCTTAATTAATAAACGGTCTATCACTGGACAAGGACGTCCAATTTCGATAGGTTGAAAATAATCAATAATCGATTATGACAATGTGCTGGTACATCGGGTGAGCAAATTTCGATCTTTGTTGAGAAATGATTATTTCCACTAAGTTGTTTTTATTGTCGGTTATTATTTTTGATTTGAATCCATAGACATTAAAAATTAACATCACTTTCCGCATGTTCTAAGAACGGGACTACGGTATTCTCCAACTTGTGATGAATACAAGGGAAACTGAGAAGACTGTCGTGCAATACTGGAGTATCAAAACAGTTTTAAGCTTATTTCGTAATTTTTAAGCCATAAACGCCTGTGTGATATTTTTATTTGTGCTTTTTATCATCTAAACGACCGCTTTGCGGTGCTGATCTCAGTACTTCACTCATTCTATTCGTTTTCTCGCATCCATCATCCACGAGGCCTTCCAACTTTGAGTGTTCGGCTGCTGCTTATAAATTTCCGTCTTCTCTGTAAACGTTTATTCGGCAAAAATCGGTCGGCAAAAATAGATGCCAAACTTGCCTGGAAAGATAGGAACACTGAATCGATACATCGGTAGGCCACCGCGAGTTATTGTAAAGGCCAGATAAGCATTCAATCACCTCCAACGATGCTTGATGAAGTGGAATGTTTGGCGCATCCCTCAGAGATTGATCAACGTCTAGAGCTTTGGCCTTTATCTTCTTATTCAGTATTATTTGTATAACATCGTCATTCTTATCTTATATCAACAGGGCTCTTCATTTAGGTGATCTGGGTTCCAAGCGGTAAATCTGCCACGCAGGTGCATTTTCTACACCAAATTTCTTTATTTGTAAAATGAAATATTGACATAAAAATATACATGAGCAGACCAGTTATAGGTGTTTCGAATTTAGGTAATTCGGAAAACGCTCCGTCATTGAAGATTTTGACCATACCTTTTCCTGATTCTGCCGCGTGAAAGGGCGCGTGTGGCGCAGTGGTCTAAGGCGCTCTGCAACACACACGTGGAATCGATTCCAGGCCCCATGGCCATCAAGCCAGCCAATCCTCGGAGGTCGGTAAATTGATACCAGACTTGTCTGGGAGGATAGAAGCACTGGCTCGATACATCGGTAGGCCACCGAAAGTCATTGTAAAGGCCACATATGTATTCAATCACCAAATGATGCCTAATGAAGTCGAATGCATGGCGTATCCGTGAGGGATTAATCAACGCCGAGAGCTTTTTGTTTTACTAACTCTGACGCATTTTGAACAATCAACACCAGTCACCCGGCGATACTTATTTGTGCCCGTTCTGTTCTTATCGCAACTTGATACTGATCTTCAGGGTTCTTGGCAACCATTTGGAGAAAGGGAACGCCTGCCATTAGATACTACTCAATCTCAAAAAGTAAGCCAAAAACTGTAAAATTTTTATATAATTCTGATCTGGTCTTCAAAAGAGCCGACTTTAACGAAACTTGCGGAAGTTCGGATATTGTATGGTTGCCAACCGGGGTCGTTCAACTTTTCTTATACGTGATTTATATTCTTACATTCGTTTCAATAACTTGCTTTCATATCTCTTGTCATCGACTCTGGTACATCGTCTCCAATTCAGCGACACTATTCTTTATGAGCCTAAGGAGCTAAAAAGTGGTTCGTGTTTGAGTGTGGCTTGTGCAATGTCAAAATATTGTATCACTGTTGTCTCATCCGATCCACAATGTTCTGTGCCGGGCTTTAAACCTGGTCACACTCTAGCTGAGCTATTCACGGATTCAGGCACAATCAGTTCCGTGAGCCTTTAGAGACACTAATCAACGACCGGAAAAACAGATTCTAACTCCATGAAAGAAGTTGTTATGGAAATCGTTTTTGGTTTTCCTGATGAAATGAAATGTCATTCTGGAAAGAATAAAGTGAACATGTGAATTTTCGTCGTGCATCATTAAATTATACACCGAAAAGCTGGAATTGGTGTAATTAATCAATGGAGATAACCTCGTTTCCGAGAGGGTTTTCGGGAACTACTTAAGCTCATACGGAGAAGTGTCTCGTTGCTTGCGTTCAGTTTGAAACTGGAGGCGGCCTTGTCCCATACGATCAAACGGTGCTCGACTACTTAATGGATTTTCTAATTTGTTAGCAAGCTTTCTCATTGTTTTAAATCGTAACATATATTGCTATAAATTCAGAAATCCAAAATACCACTATAACTTTGGAAATCGAAACAAGTTGGAGAAACTCAAGATGACATAGGAAATTTTAAGCGCACGTTTTCGTGTTGCAAGACTTTAAGCAAGTTCTTTAGCTTTTGTGAAGAAGTGCTATCTGATCTGTCAAAATTCTGTACTATCTCTTTTAACTGAATCCAAAGCCTACGCGGCAAATAGATACAGGATGATAGACCTAAGAAGGAAGTACTGCGATCGTGACGATATGGTAGTGAAAATAGAGATAGTTTTTGTCAAAGATTACCAAGAAACGTCCACTTCCCCACTCTCCCATCCCCCCCCTCCGCGCCCCAGCCTCTCCTGCTCCTCCGTTTATATTTTTTCAGTAGCTTTACTGCTATAAGACAAGAAACATACGATATAACTCTGAAATATTCACTTTTATTGAGGTCGATAGTAAATCCAGCTTCTCGAAGAGAAAACGAAGTGTCAAGGAAATAAATGGTGGTATGTTAATCTACTCTCTTATCTCATAATGTTTGTGGCGCCGTGATCGGAGGCGCTCTGTAAGACACGCGTGGAATCGATCTCCGCGTCCACGGTCCACCGACCCTTCCATCCTTCCGGGGTCGGCAAATTGGTGCCGGATTTGTTTGGGAGGATAGCAGCACTGGCTCGATACATCGGTAGGCCACCGTGAGTCATTGTGAAGGCCAGAGTGAAGATGCATTCAATCACCTCCCAAACGACGCTTAATGAAGTCGAATGCATGGCGCATCCCGAAGGGATTGATTAACGTCGAGAGCTTTAGCCTTCACCCTTTATTTCATAATGCTAGATTGAACCCAACAAATTTACAAACGGCGATGCGCAATGAACATTTCTTTGGTCAAAAACAGCTATCTTTAGTAGTGTAACATGGTTGTTAAAATATTATATGTTGTAGAGTTGCGCTTGATATTTAGAATTGTGAGAATCGATTGGTGTTGTTCACTGTCGCGCGTTGTCGCGCGTTGTCGCGCGTTGTCGCGTGTTGTCGCACATTGTCGCACATTGTCGCTCTCATTGCCCTTGGCAAACTTCATTGCTTGTGACGTTAAGATCATAAACGTTTTACTTCATATTACTTGAGAAGTTTTTGTCACTAAAATGTGAGTTTTCTAAAGATCGCAACTCGAATTCGGATAAAAAGCCTGAGCTAATTGAAGCTCTTCAACGCTATAACTACGACACAAGACGATTCATTCCCGGAAATGATTTTAAAAGGCAAGCAGATCTACCAGCAAATGCGGACGACTGTCCTCTTATGCAACAAATAGTGCATAATTTTAATCACCTTGCTGATTACCCACTGGAAAATTTTCCTTAATACCCGTCATCAAATCTATCCATGCAATTGTAGACGAAGTAGTCGTCTTGCGAAGGCATTATCAGTTTATGATTTCAGATGCTTCAAAAACGTTGGATGAAGTAAATACGAACGACGAAAGTGGAAGATTGGAAAAACGACAGTCATCGTGGAAGTCAAATCAAAAGAGATCACCTTCAGCAACAAAGCAAAACGAAAGATCTAAGCAATCTGCTAAGCTCACCAGAGACCAACTAGATCAAGAACAATCTGCTAAGATTATCGCTGATCCCACGAAAGGTTCGAAACCCGAAAAAGTAGCAACCGAAAACAGCAAGGTGATCGAGGAAATGAAACCAGCCGAATCAAGAAAAGAGGGTTTTTTAACGCCATCAGCGAATCAACAAGTTGAAAAGGCTGCGACGACATCAGCGAAAGCAGAAACGGAGCCTAAAAAGAAATCAACTTCAGACGATGAGAGCGAAAAGGAATAGGTTAAAAGTAGAATTTTTGTCGTTCAAACATATTTTGAAGCAATAAACTGCTAGTTAAGTAATTGCAATCTTATTGGAAGTTGTTGGAAATCCTGCGTTTTACATAAAATTCTAGTCGTTCAGTTATCTAGTAAGGGTACGCGTATAATAATTAATATAGTCGCCAAAAAAATTTCCAATTATAGAGTATAATTAGAAGTTTTTTTTAGCGATTTCTTCATTATTTATTCAGCTGGATACTCCTCGAATACTAACCTATTTGCCTATGAATCGCTTACTAAGGCTCCCACCCTTCCATTAGAAAGTTAGTGCCAGAAAGTTACCAGATCTCGTTGGAAATCACTCGAGTTCCTCTAATTCAAAAAACAGTGCCACCACTGATGGAGAGATGGTACGTCCAAGCGCGGCTACCCCTGATTTCGAGTGAGATTCAACTCGAACGGTGTTCAAAAACGTTCATGAGGAACATGGAAATTCCTAGAGCATCAGGTAAACCCACAAATCTGAAGTTTCTTGCATGATGGTTGTGGTGAAACGAATCAACTGAAAATAGTGCGGAGATCCACGCAACATGCAATGTCAATTCATTTAAAATAAAACTGCGTGTAGATGTACAACAAAAAGTGCAAAACACTCCAGCATGGCGATAAAAAATGGCCTTAAAGAGAGAAAAGCAACTGCTATGGTTAAAAGTGTAGAGAGTGGGAAAAACGCGCAGCTGAGAGCGCGGAGGATCCTATATGACGCATGTAAGAGAGGACATCCAGCGTTCCAACCTATGCCAACGGTCAAAAAACAAAAAAGCCGTTATACACGCCAAAACGTCGAAAACTGGGTGGAGTGGAAACATAATACTTTGGAAGGGTAAGCGATAGGTAGGAGCCGTTTTCGATATCATTCCTCGGCTACCAAGCGCACAGAGGAAAGACCACCGACCAGGTGGTCAGAATTCTTCAAGAAAACAGTAGAAGAAACAAACGATGCTCAGCGAGCTCCTGGAACGAGGAGAACCTACGGGGCTACTCTTGCATGCAAAAGGGGTAAATGAGAATTTCACTGGCGTCCGTTCGAATTACTGAAAACAGCACATCGATTCGATTAATTTCTGACCTTAGCTCGGAAACTATGAGCACCTGCTAATCATGCATATACGGTGATAAATTTGAGGAAAACGAAAAGCCGTTTTTAATGACATGACACCTGATTCCACCAACGGAGAACATCGCAGCAAGTAGGCGAGGAACACGTTCCAAAACAACCCACATGTCGTTCCATCTGCCCAGAGATGTTGATGGTTTGCAAACAGATCCTTACGATATTCGATCCTCTACATTTAAGAAATTAGCAGACGTGGAGATCGAACCATGGACCAAATGCACGCAAGTTGTGTGCTACCTTTTAAAGCTTTCACTCATGAATGAATCTATCTGTATCAATGAGGTTTTGAAGGAAATAAAACTGTTTTTTGAAGGAAAATCAACGTTGCTGAGTTATTTGCAAAACTCTGAACCGCAGGTGTCTATGGTGGAGAACGAACGCGCTATTGTTCTTTCCGGGGAGTAACGCGTTCACCACCACACCATACGGGTCCACCATCTGGCCAAAATTATTTATCGCCACCCTCCAGAATGTCATGCGAACATTGAAATGGGATAATGTGAGAGTGAAATTCGACGGTCGACCGTTACACCATCTTCGCTTTGCTGGCGACATCATCATTATAAAACTGAACATTAGCCAAGCACAACGTATGCCTGACGACTTTGATAAAGCCTGTGGAAGGATTGGTCTTTAACCAAATCTCAAAAACGATGTTCATGAAGAACGGATTGGTTTCGCATGCCTCATTCACGCTCAGCGGAACGAATATCTCCGAATGCTCCAGTTATATCTATCTAGGTCTGGAAATCAATATAATCCAGAGCTGAGCAGAAGAAAACAAGCGGCTTGAGGAGCATTTCAAGAGCATCGAGGATGTAGTGAAGATAACAAAGAATACCCGATTCTGTGTCCACCTTTTCGACTCAATGGTACTTCCTGCCCTAACCTGTTGGTCAGAAACCTTATCGCTGCGTAAGCAGGATGAAAGGTCATCCGGTGTTGTCGAACGCGCTGCCGAAATGACGATGCTAGGAATGTCCCGTTCCACACAAGTAAGGGATGGGATCCGAAGCTCCGAACTGCGTTAACGATCAAAAATCAAAGATGCCGTTCTGTACGCCAAACAGTCGAGGATAAGGTGGGCCAGACACGTAATGCGGATGAATGACCACCGACAGACAAAAGCGACAAAAGCGACAAAAGCAAAGTGACTGGACTCCTCGGGATGTCGAACGTACTCCAGGAAGATTACCGACCCGATTGTCAGAGTACTTCACAAAGAGCTTTGGAGAAAGATATGATGCTCGACGAGTCCCTAGAGCGAGCACAACCCACTGAGCTACTCTTGCACGCGGCAGGGAAAAATGGAAGATTTACTGGCGTCCGCTCGAGTCACTCGACGATCAGCGGGACAACAGGTGATACATGTGATACTATTGCATACGTTAAACAATTGCATTATTCTAACTGCAGTAATATTAGATACCAAGGATCTAACTACTGAACTTAAAGCTCTGTATTTCCTCGGACCGGCTTTCTGTTAGCGAGAGCACTGGATTACAAATGCGTCGTTTTCTTGTTCAGCAATCGCCATTGACTTTAGTCGCATCAACAACTTCTCTCTTGTAAAGGAAACTGCCATTTTAAATTTCTTACATAATTAAACATCTAGAAATCCTCGCCGTTTGATGAGTGGCCCTTACTTCACGCGAACTCCGAGTAACTACAGTTTCTTAGTCGTTAGAAATGGCCATTTACACCTCCATTTTCAGCGATTCCTCCTGCCTCTTCCCGTGCACACTCGCGGCGGTTTAAAATGTGTTTCTTAAAAAAGGCCTTTTTCGTTTGAGGCGTAAGAGGAAAGATAATTAGATTGCATATTTTTGCTACTTTACTTCAGGTACCACTTTGTGATGTAGCCGCCGTTTTTGGATAGTTTCATTCGAACGTTCCGAAATAGATGCTAGATTTGTTTTGGTTTCTTCGGGGTAAACTTGATGTACTCTTAACTTGTGTGGTACAAATAATAAAGCAATCATCTATATATATATATATATATATATATATATATATGCTTGGTTACCTGAATACTTTGACGGCCCCACCTTACTGGTTGTGCGGACCCCAGCACAAACCTCCATTTGTCGGAGTTTTGCTGGTTAAACCACTGTGTCCTCCTGCAGTCCCGTTAGCAAGGCCAGTGTCTGCCGCAGGTCGTCATCAGTACAGGCAGTCGCAGCCTTTGCGGATAGGAGTGACTTTACCGCGATGCGACTAGTCCGATACCAGGACAGTTGTCGATCCTGGTATTCGTTTATTCTTAGCTAGTCTTCCTGATGGATACGCCAGACTGCTTTTCGGCTTGAAATACCCGGTTATATAATTCTAAGTGATTTGTAATTCCGCTTTCATTTTGTTGTTGCTTGTTTTAATATCACATTTAGCGTTCTCTATGGATCCTACCTCTTCAGTTCCTTTGGTTTTCCAGCATTTACCGTCTACGAAAGTGTTCAAGCTTCTAATCCTTTTTTTGCATACACCTTCTACTGCTGCTGGAGGATTTTTCGTCTTCATCACGGATTCCCTTGAATGGTGGTCAAGTCGACTCCACATGACATTTTGAGATAGCCACTCCAAAGCGTTTAAATTTAGATCACTAGGAGTTGTTCATGAGAAGTCTGGCATCTTCTTCACGACCTCGGACGGAATGGTGCCATGGCAAGCGCGATGAGTGCTCGAACCACTGCTTAGGAAGGCTGGGCTGTTCGCTTGATAATGGTTACCATTGCGCTGACCTATTTTCTGACTAATAGGACTGGTTCTGTTGCGGTAGTGATTCCGCTTATCCCGAACGTAGCACTGCTTCGACACCTGAGGGATGTGTCATTCACGCCATTCATTTGACTTCACCAGGCATCGTTTGAAGATGACTGAATGCATATCAGGCCTTTACAATGACTCGCCGTGGCCTACCGATGTATCGAGGTAGTACTGTTATTCTTCCAGACAAGTCTTGAAGCAATGCATCGACCCCAGAGGGATGGAAGCCTAGCCTTGGGCGCGGAGATCGATGCCACGTGTGTATTACAGGGCGCCTGCGACCACTGCGCCACACGCGCCCTCAGGCACCACAATTTCGAAAGTGCTATACTTACTACTGTAATCGCTTGTTTATATTTTGTTGTCCTTATTCATTCGTTCTGAAGACATTGTCCTATTGTGCGCGTGTATGCTAATAAATGTGCTTCGAGTTTTCAACCTTCATGAAATGCAGATGAATTTGCGTTCACGTTCGTCTGAACGCCATGTGTTTCCTCACTTCACAAACTTCTCATGAAATGAAGTGCCACAAAAGGAGATAAAGTTTCGACACGTTTATTCTTTGTAGGATATAAATTTTTAATGACCATGAACTTGAACGTTTGATGAAGTATAAATTATGATTCGATGAAGCCGACAAACTGTGCAATCATTCATTTCTATCATTTCTCACAACTACTTGGATACTTGGATGGTCGGTCTTCACGATTTGTACGGGCCCAAGAGCACATTTACCGTTTTTCTTAGATTATCACTGCAAACATCGTTTTCTTCACAGTAAGAGAGTACTTCCAGTCAATAATAGACAGAGAAGCCCATCACAATTGGATTAACAAGGCCACAATATGAACACGAATACGCCAACCTAATTCCCCTGACCTACTTTCTGTGAACCTCGGCATTGATCAAATAGTTCTTGATATTTTTGTTGAGCAAATAAGAGGTGTTACTTTGCTCTTTGCTCCGTTAAAGCAGAGGTTTAGGCAGTATCACCTTCTTCAGAGCCTGGAAAGGTATAGTGACTGACAATTTACTATGTCAAACGCTTCAATAACACATACAGAAAAACGAATGCCGAA